AAGTCTGTACATGTTGCCTTCTCCCCCTTCACTTCTGATCTCCCTGAGGCCCAGCCTGAGGTGGGAGGAAGGCTGTGTCATCAGGGACAGCCTGCGGCACACAGGTGCCTTCTGGTCACTGCAGAACGTGCGTCGAGAGCTTTCCTTCCAACGAGTCTTTAAATAAAGCTGGTGTGCACAGTTTGCCTTTTACAACAAGCAGGGAGGCCAGGACAGAAGCCCACTCCAGCAGAAAGGACGCACAGGGCGTTTCTAGTCAGCTCCTACAAAGGGTATCTATCCACAGTGCTCAGCCAATACAGAAGCCCCAGGATGGCTCCTACCAGACCACCAGAGCCTGCCAATGGGTTAGGGAACTAAATTCAAATAAACGCAATCGACAGTTACCAAGACCCAACCAGTACCCAGGCATGGTGCCAGGCACTGGGCAGACAAAGGTGGCCGTTCTAGGTTATTAGAGGCTGGGATTCCACGCTGGCACTGTCTGAGGGCTGTTTATGCCGAAGTAAGAATAACCAGACAGCGCTGCTTCCCGAGTCTGTATCACCTTTGGGGCCAAGATGCGCTGTGATAGTTACAAATCCTGTTGTTACAAGAAGGGCTGTGCCCTTGTCTGTGGAATTGTTTTCAGGGCTTATTCTGTCTCCTCTACTGTGGTGGCAGCCTGATGGGGGCACGGTCTCTGGGTCTTTGTGCATCCCCTCTAACACCCGGGACTGAATGACACGATGCCAACAGGCCTACAGGATCCACCCCTCAGAGAAGTGCAGGTCTACACTCGCAGCCTCTGCTCTCAGAGGTGACTAGACTACACAGGTTGATCCAGCAGGGTCCTGGGCTGCCTCCCACTCTACTTCAGTGTCTTCTCATCTTCCTCCCACCTGCACCCAAGGCTACCAGCCACATCAGAGAAAATAAGTAGTGAATGTGAACCCCAAAACAAACCATGTTACGTCGAGCTCTGGCACGTATGTCTAAACTTACAGCCAAACAGCTACAGATACGTGTTGTCATGAGAATCAGGGACGCTACTGGAGCAAACACCATGAGCCACACTGTGTACCCAACTCAAAGGATGAAGAGATCCCCTGACGTCTTCCTCAAACCAAACGGTCTACCTTCACTGGTGAAGGCTGTCTGCAGGGAGCGCTGTGCTCTTTCAATCTTTTTGATCTCTATATGGGATCAAATTGACAACAGCCACTCGAAAGGTTGGACAGGAACCTCAGGGGAAAGAGAGTTGATGTTAACGGAGGAGGAACAACTCAGAAAAGGAGGGTGAGAAGGGCTGCACAACTCAGAATGGAAGCAGGTCACTGAATCGGACCCAGAGAAACTGGTGAACTGGAGCATGTTATCCTGTGTACATTCTCAGCAACAACCAAATCAACTATGAACAATAAGAAAGGTGAGCGGTGACCGCGGCCCCACCACACAGCGCTGGGCAGGGTTTCATTAAAGTCTTGCTCTCTGAAGTAAAAAAAAAAAAAAAAAAAAAAAAAAACCAAGAAAGGTCAGATGACCTCAAGGTGGCCCCCAGCATTGTCTTCTTGCAGAGACACCCCCATTGACCCTGGGAGGGCTGAGACCCCAAGCACACCATGGTTTTTCTAGAGTACCTCTCTCTAGACTGAGAAAGAGCCTAAGGTCAGCTACTAAGGTTTGCAGCAGCTGCATCCAGGAACAGACGAAGAAATAGTCCATCGAAACCTGTACTTCACTTGCTTGAGTATAATCATCCATAAACCTACTTCTCACTCACCATTATCTGACATTTCGTACTTACAACAACTATGACAAAAGTCTCAGGTAGCTCCTCCTATGCTCCAGGCTCCATACGGGGCCGCGCCCTTCACCAACCACCCTACATGATATACCAGAGGCCCCGGCGTCAACCAGGCCACACGAGGAACAGTGGCCATGGCATGCCTTCTCCTATCAGTTCATGATGTCTCAATTTGGCCACGGAGAGCAAAGGGCAACAACGGATGACATGAAGTCACAGGTGGGCAGGGGGAAGCTGGGTGAGGGCCCAAAGGTGCCGGGGAGGTTGGTGAGGGAAGGCAGGGGGAAGGAAGGGGGCCATGCGGTGCTGTGAGAGGGGGCTGGCAGAAGGCAAGCAGGGTCCTGGCCCAGGGCTGGTGGAGGGAGGCAGGCAACGCCTGACCACCACCACTACCACCCCCAACCTCCACAGACTCTGTGGTGGTGGGGAAGGCGTGGTGGGGGAGAGGGGCCTGCTGCACCACATACCTGCTGAAACACGCCAGGGTTGCCAGGGGCGCCTGACGGGTGGTGAGCACTGGGGAGTGGGGGAAACGGATGCCAGCAGGAGAGATGGGACATGCCTCCTGACTCACATGACATGACTTCACGTAACAGCCTGGTCTTTGGAAGCTAAGCAGATTGGTTAAGTGATGAGTGGGTGGATTACGAATGCCCTCCATGTACCACTTTCCCAAAACGGAAACAAGTATGCGGGTATCTGGGAATCGATTTGTACCTGCCAATGGCGCTCGTCAGTCAGGTGCTCTTAGAAGGTGGTAGGAAATGACACACACACACTTTCACCCCAGAACCACTGATAAACGAACGCAGACTGTTTCTAGGGTAGCTCTGATCTCGTGGAAAGCTTGTACTTAAGTCTAGTGGCTACTGAAGCAAACAAAGCCCACTGTTAAGGACAATGGAATTTGGCCACACGTGGATCGCAAAAGTCACTTTCTTCAAGGTGTAAGGAGGCTTAACCACATCTAGGCAGTGGACTGGCAGACAACACGACTCCTGAAGCCAATTCTAACATTCTTAAGTGTGTTTTAAAAATTCTGACTGGGCTAGGCAACAGGGAATATACCCATAACCATATATATGTTTGACAGACGATATTACTACACACGTCTTTGTGCTGTAAGAACGTCGGTATAAATAGAACTAATGGGGGCAAAGTTATAGACACTTCTTAGCCACAGCCAACCACCCTGATGGAGCAAGTTGTTGGACCTGTGGGCTCGGGACCATAGTCGAGGGGGACATCAACCTCAACTGGCCTTACCATACTACACAAAAACACTGTTCTGGTAGCGTAGTGCCTAAAGCACTTGACTGCTAACCAGAAGGCTGGCTGTTCAAATCCACCAGCCACTCCTCGGAAGGAAGGCTGAGCAATCTACTTCCATAGTGATACTGCCTCAGAAACCCAAGGAGGGGTCGCTATGAGTCGGGGCCGACTCGATAGCATGTAACAACAACACATCCTACTCTGGTGAGCAGGGACTAGGGTCTTAAAAATTCGCAAGTGGTTTGCTGGACTGATAGACCCTGGTGGAACCCCTGAGACTATGGCCCCTACCTGCCTTTCAGGTCTGGAATGGAGCCCACTCCTATGGCTTCCAGCCAAACAAGACAGATATATGAGCTGAACATTTACCTGAGGTAGATACACTCCTTGGAGAGAACAATCATGGGACCTTGGAGAGAACAATCATGGGAGAACAGAAGGGCTGCTTATGCACAGGGAGACAGCTCAGGGGGCAGGAGTGCATGGAGGGAAGGACACAGGGAAGAGGTAACTATGGGAAGAAGTGGGAGAAGAGCTGTTGCATTGTGGGAAATTGCAGTCAATGTCATGAGACAAAGTGTATGTGAGCTGCTGTATGGAATGTGTATTTGCTCTGTAAACTTTCACCCAAATCATAAAAATTTAAAAACCTCGCAGGTGGCCACCTAGACACAACAGTGGGTCTCTCCTCATCCAGAGGGAAGAAGAATGAAGAAAACCAAAGATACATGGAAACAGTCCAAGGGACTAGTGGATTATGTGAACCTCAGCCCACGTGACCTTGAGACCATCAAACACTCAAAAAGGGATCAGAGTAGAAGATCTTGGATAGAGTAAGCTGTCTGCAGAAGTGATCCTACATGTTATAGGAATATAGGAGTGTTTGAGCTTCGGGGGGGGGGGAAAAAAACAGAAAAGCCAGAAGTCTGGGTGTTATTCATAACTATTATCAGTTCATTTCTTAGTTCAAGAAACAGCAAGAAAAAAAGAGCAAACCGTACCCAACTACTCAGGCGTGTAACCACCTGGTGCCGTGTGCCTGGACTCAGCGGGTGCTCAATGGAAGTCCATGCAGAGGCTGCTGCTGCAGGGACCCTCCCCAACACCAGGGGGGTTTCATGGCCATGCCCTCCCTTCACTGGGAAGCTTGTCCTGCTCAGAACCCCTGCTCCAAAGGACCCACACTAACATAACACCATCTGTCCCTCAGCCTTGGAGAGCAGCACCCCAGGCCCAGGAAAATGAAGGCTGAAGCCAACTGCACCACCAGCAGGTCTGTGCTGAATGAATGGGGTCCCGATAAGACAGCACCTTCTCGCCAGGGCCCCACCCACCCCACCACAGGAGGGGCTGCACCTGTGTCTCCATTATCACAGCTTCTGCCAACAGATGCTTTCCTACCAAGTCACTAATATTTAGCGGACACGCCACTGACAGATTGTGACCCTGGAGATCAGGGTAAATGGTGCTTCAACTCCCTGCCAGATGCACGCAAAGTTTCATGGGCTCCAGACACACAGAGCTGGCATCACATGATGATGGCAGGTGTTCCTAAGACACCCCGCGGTGCTGGTTAAACGTTCTGGGTTGGAACAGAGATCCTTCCAGCCCATCTCTGCCGCCAGCTTTGATAAGGAACTCCCTGGGGGGGGTGTGCCCAAGTGGTAGAACCAAGGATAGAACTCAGAACAATAGCCCTCTGTCACCTTGCCGGAGAGGTTCCATGTGCACACAGGAGGAAAGGGACAGAGTCTTCCTCTGTGAGCCAGGCAGCCCTTCAGCTGTCATGGCCCACAGGGACTCTCTTTCATAGCGCTTAGCACAGGCTTCATGAGGCCCATCAAGGGGAAAGCCCCCAACAGGCTTCTGTGAACCCTTCCACCCTCCGAGGATCTCAGACGGATGCTGTGTGCTGCTGTCGTCCTTCAAAGCGTAGTCTTACCAGTGCTCGTGTTGGAAACGCCATTGACCGTCCCTTCCACGTCCACCTCGTCCTCCGCGTAGCTCAGCATCAGGCTCTGCTGCCGGCTCGTCAGCCTCCTGTGGACGGAGAGGAGTCAGCACCAGTGAGCTCGCTCGAAGGCCCAGCACAGTCAGCACCGGAGGGCTCTAGAGACACAGGGCTGTGGCTGGGCGGCCTGTGGGGGACGAAGGCCATGCAGAGCCCCGCCCCAGTCTCTGAGCCGAGGAGCAGGGAAGGGCACCCAGAGCCGAGGGTGAGAACAGAAAATTCCCTCGAGTACCCCAGACTGCTTTCCAGGGACACTGTGGCCTTCTCCATATAGGTGTGTGACTGAAAATAAAGTTATCTTTATGTGAGTGAGTATGTGTTATGTGTGTGTGCATGTGTGTGTTAAGCAAGTAAGAGATTATCCGACCCGTGTGACTAGACGGGCAAGGCTGGAAGCCTGGCCCCCCCAAGCCGAGCCGGGCAGGCCTGGGCCCTGATGCTCTGGCTCATGCGTGTGCTTGAGACATGGCCGCCTCATGCCACGATGCGCTTAGACCTCTGCCTTCCCAGCAGATCAGGCTCCTGGGCAGCAAAACCACCAGCAGCAGTTAAGAGCAACCTCAGTACTATTACGGCCGAGGGGACGGCTATCATGATGTGAGACAAAATGTGTGGGAGTTACTGAGCTGATTTGCTCCCTAAACTTTCACGCAAATCACAATGCAAAGTTAAAATAAAAGTAATGATAGCGACTACAGCAGCTGCAGCCACGTGTTCTCTCTGCATCACTCACTCACGCCCAGACGCCTGGAGGCAGCCCTACGTGGTGTAAACAGCTAATGTGCCAGGTGCTGACCAAAGGCTGGAGATGCAAGTCCACCCAGAGGCGCCAAGGAGGCAAGGCCTGGCAGTTTACTTCCAAAAATCACCCACTGAAACCCCCTAGGAGCACACTGCGACCAGGATGCATGTGGGGCACCATGAGCTGGGGTCGATTGGAGGACAACCATCAGCGCTCCACGTGGCGACTTTTCAACAAGGCCCACTTCACAAGGGAGCGCATCCTGTAAGATAGAAATGTGAATTCCTAAATTATGTATTCAGCATCTCCTAAATTTAGCAGATGCTAGATACGTAATTTAGGCTTCAGATTCTTATCTTACAGGAGTAACATATGGATGTTCAGCAGAAAACACTTGATAGAATCGAGCGGGACCTAAGCCACAGGACTCACAGTGGCAGAGCCCAGGAGACCTCCCCAGCTCCTGTCACCACACGGTGGTGCGCAGAGCTGGGCACTCACTTTGGAATTCGGATCTTGATGTGGATGTAGTGGTCGCCGTAGCCGTAGCTGTTAATCCGGGGGATGCCCTTCCCACTCATCCGAATCTTCTGGTCCGTCTGCGTTCCAGGAGGGATCTGCAAAGGAAGGACACCCTCGGTTCTCCTTGATCTCCCACTGCCAAGTGAAACATGTGCAAACAAAGACAACCTTAGTCACCCCCCAGGAAGGAGGCCTAGTTTTCCACACCAAGCCTGAGGACTGCCACGTGGAACTGGCTAAGCCAGGGTCCCCCCACAAAGCAGAGCCTGCGGCCGGGACTTAGGGGCAGGCAGTTTTGGGAGGTGAGCCCAGGAGGTGAATGTGAAGAAACAGAGAGTGAGGACAAAATGGGGAAGCCAATGAGGGGTGAGCCGCTGGCACAGAGTGTGGTTCCCCGATGTGGCCACCAGACGAGGCTGGTGCTCTTCCTCAGGCTCCTGGCTCCCTGGCTCAAGGCAGCCTCGGCACTCACTCCCGAGAGGCTGCAGACAGCCCGGAGAAGCACGGCTGTGAGACGGAATAGCCCGAGGGGTGGGGAGCACCAGCAACAGGCAGTCTGAGGTTGGGGAAATGCTAGTGCAGTTGTGACTGCAATTAGAGGGCGAGGGGGTGTGTGTGAAGCGGAGCATGAACGCAGCAGAGATCACAGCCAGGAAACTCTTCTCTGCTTGGTCCACCAGCCACCACCTGAGACCCACCAAGGAAGCAGAAGAAGCGTGTGCAACCAGGTTTATGATTCACACCCAAGGATTACCCTCGAATCCCCGCTGCCCTCCCCAAAACCGAGGCTTCTCTCTAAACCCCAACACATGGTGGGTCACAGTCCAGGCCACCCAGCCGCTGTGCTGTTTCCGTCAGTGCAGACGGGGCAGACGCGTCTGCCTGTCGAGCCACACACTCACCGTCACATTGATGGTCTCATACAGGCCCTGGGCTTTGGCTGTCCCACCCAGAATGGCCTGAGCTACAGAGATGAAGAGGTCGGAGTGGATGTCCGCGCCGTCTCTCCTGAACACGGGGCTTTTCTGCACCTAAAGCCAGGCAGCAGACATGGCAGTCATCAAGCAGAGAAACTCTGCTGAGGTGGGCCTGCTACTGACCGTCAGCCCCGTGTCCCAGTGCCCACACGTGACCCGACCTGCTCTGTGCTTGCTTCCCTGCCTTTATCTCTGGTTTCTCTGTCCAATTACTCTGTGTGTTACTCTAGTCTTCATTTTAAACCAGGGAAAGTTTCACATGTGTAAACATGCAAAATACATCACATACACTGTGTATCCACAATCCAGCTTAAGTGAAACAATAGAGTGTCAAACCCCTGAAGTCCCCATGTCAACACCACCGAGGTCACCACTGTCCTGAGCTTTGCACCTGTCGTTGTATGAGCATCTGCTTACTTTTACTACATACATGCGTATCCCCAGAGAACACGTGACACCACCTTGTACATTTTAAAACTTCACATAAACCGTCTCCTCTACCCACGTCCTCTCACAGCCTCCTTCTCTTGCCTGTTACCATGATTGGAGGTCTCTTGCTCACACTGTGGGTCTGGTCCCCCCAACTGCTCTGGACTGTCCTGCTCGGCCACAGCACCCCACGCTCGGCCGCTCGGCCACGGCACCCCACGCTCGGCCGCTCGGCCACGGCACCCCACGCTCGGCCGCTCGGCCACGGGACCCCACGCTCGGCCGCTCGGCCACGGCACCACATGCTCAGCCGCTTGGCTACAGCACCACACAGTTGGGGCTGCAGCGCACACCCCTGCGCTGCCCCAGTGTCCTTGTGTGGGTTTCTCTCCAGTTTTGCATCTAGTTTAACTGCTGATAGGAGGCACTGTTTTCTTCAATATTACCATTATCTCAAGAAACCACGCCCCTTATATAGAGTGTAAAACTGAAACCCCTAGCGTTTCCTGACATGTAAATAAAACCACAAGGAATCGTGCTCTATGCCTGTACGTGTTCCATGCTTTTCACTCGTGCGCATCTTGAGGGGCTTTTTTTCTCTCCACACCCCGTGTAAAATCCCGAAGGCAGTGCCCATGTGCCAGCTACATGAAGGTCAACCCAAGGGGCAAGCCAGGCTCCTGCAGAGCTGCCCTCTAATGCCAAGGAAAGCCTGGCCGTGCCCTCTTCAGGAGAGCCGGGCACAAGAGCAGCGATGCAGCACGGGACCTACCTTGAAGGTGATGAAGATCTCCCTCTTTCCTACGGGCATCCTCACGGTCTGACCATCCTCCACCCCTGCAAAGAAGCACAAGCCTTCAATGGAAAACAGCTCTTCCTGGGTTTCCCAAGGCATTTCCTAGCCCAGATCCGTGGACAGCCCAGGCCCCCCTGCTCACTGCTGCTTCCTGGTCATGAGGACAAGGCAGCAGCAAGCACAGCTTTCCAGAGGTGGCCCCCACTGCCGCTGGTAAGTGAACAAGAGCACCCGCACTCACTGCCTCCACGTTGAGCGGCTGCCTGCCCTGTGCCAGGGAGTTCAGTCTAGCAGGGAAGACAGGTGCCAAGCCAAGCGACAGTGGTGATAAATGTGTAACAACAAAGATGCTTCTCATAGGAAGGCCTATCTGAGCACAGGCGAGGGCTTGGGAGGCTCCATGAGGGAGTAGTCCTGGAGTTGGGATCTCTAAGGTAAACAGAGCTGACCTGCTGAAACATAGCAGCAGGTAGTTTCAGATACAGGAACAGCATGTGCAAAGGCACTCTGGCCTGCCCCCAGATCTGAAAGAAGCCAGCAAGGCTGCTGGGCAGGCAGCAAGAGGGAAATGATGAGTGGGCTGTGGAGGTGGGAGGCTACGCACGTAAGGAGAGCTGTGGAGGTGAGGGGGGCTATGGAGGTGGGGAGGCTGCAGAGGTGAGGAAGG